ATTAGACAAGCGCTTGAGTTTTTTTTTTGTTTTAGTTTTTATCTCCTTCTGTAGCTTCCTCTGGAAATGTCCTTAGACCAATAATATATTGCTTTGGTGTTAAAACTTAGAGTCACAAGCTAGCATACAGTACAGAAGAGCTGTTATGTATCGTTTTAAATCTTAGGACTGCCATACCAAGCACAAGCATTTCTGACCGTCTCTATGAAATGCTGAATGTTAATGATGACACAGTTCTTCCCAGATGTCAATTTCAAATAAATTTTTATATCCCATCGGTTTACGTCACACGTCTTATTGGCTTTGCTCCCAACCAACTCTACGGCGTCTGATTCTCTAAACACGCAAAGCGGAAAAGCCAGAAACTAGAGATGCTACACTTGCAACTATAGTGGATCATGAAAAAAAAAAAGAACAAAGAAGAGTGACTCGATTTAAAAGCAGTTAATCGCGGTGACATTGATTGCATTCAAAGTGCGCAGCGAGATCTGACCTGGGGAATTTTGAGCCGCCCAAACAAAACTGCATTGAAGCCTTGATGACCAAATAATACCAATAATACCAATACATGATGAAGATACCGTAAAAAAAAAAAAAAAAAGAAAAAAAAAAGGTAACCAATCACCTACTTATGTGTTTGAGATTTTTGTGTCTTAAACATGTGTCCTATGAGAATCTAACGTTTTACACAGACTCAATTATTTCTTATTTTTTCATTTGTATTTCCAACGTTTTCAGTGATAGACATGCTGGCGGTTTTGGGTTTTTTTTTCTGAGAGGCAATAATTCACTCGACACCTGGACGCACGGACGCCGTGGGCATGTCTGCTGACCTTTAGCGTAATTACATTTATCTTAATTTAGCTTCATAGAAAAGATAATTAAAAATCCGTCTTTTCTGGCTTTGTAATTTGTTGAGGTTAGCTGTAGGTAAACATCCAGACTAAATGCCACCAAATATCGTCTTTGTGCATGGCTACTGCTGTCAGTGTTGGTACTGAGTGATTGTTTCTTAGTCCCATCATAAGTTTTCTCTTATTTTCTGTTCCGACAATGCATGTCATGTTGCATTATTTGCCTTGGATGAGAGTGGGCGGAAAGGCAAACGAGATTAGTTGATGCATGCACTTGTTTTTCTATGAGTGAATCGAGGCTTTCAGAAATGATTTCATGAGTCAGTGTTTGTAGCACGCCTTTCAAACTCGCTTCTGTTCCATGTTTTCTTTTTTTTTCTTCTTTTTTGACAACAGTAATGTTGGTGAAATAATGCTCTGCAGAGACACAAAGCATACTTCAGGGTGGTCTGTCAGTGAGCAACTGCTTGTTTTAGAGTGGTGGAGGATTTATTCTTAGCTGTGTATAATGGAAAATTGGCTGTGATTTCATTCCTTATATGTACCGTCTGCCAACTCTGAAGTTCACTTTGGGCTATGTGGTATAATTGCTGGGCTAAAGGTAGGATTTGATGGGACTCTGGCTCATCTTTCTTTTTTTCCTTATTCTTCCTTTGCTTGTCCAGTAAATACAGAGAGAATCTGTGTAAGGAGTGATATTCAGGTGTAGAAGTCAAGTTTTAGAAATCTTTTAAAAAATAACTATTTAAAACAAAGCATAAAAACAAATAATAACAGCCTTTAGATCAGTAGTAATATTGCAATGCACTAATTAAATATGTTAAATCTTTTCATGATGTTAAAAAGAGGGAGACAATCGTCATTACACTTGCTATGTAATCATTGTTTATCCAAGATAGAAATATTGAGATTGTATAAGAAGACTGCATCTAAAAATATGTTAAAAGTTGATTAAAACATGACTTAATTAACTTTTTTAATGTATATATTAGCTCTATAGCGTATTTGCGTCACGGTTACTATGATGTAGTATCATATAAATTTTTTTTTCCAAACATCAAACAAATGTTTAGGTCGTCGTCTAATTTGCAGACAGAGCGCCTGCATAGCGTAAAATGAGATGAAATAATTTTGGGGAGTAAATTGAAATAAATTACATTTGTTAGGGGATCATAGGTTTAGGAAGGTGCGGCATTATTTACATAAAACTGCGTTAGGTATCGTTTTATGTGATAAGGGTTTTAATGTGTTATGACACATTCAACAAACTACATGTGAGACAAAAAATATAGATCATAATCTTCCAACTGGATGCCTGAAACAACTATTTATAAAATTTAACGTGCCACATCACACGGGGGCAAAATCTTTAGTTTGCAACTACTCTCTGGTTTCTAAAACAGGGAAGTAGTTGCGCCGTAGTTTCTGCATAAAGGCGGCTTATTTACAAGCTATACCAGCGGTCTGGGTGCTGTCACTAGGCTCAACAGCCTTGCCGTTTTATTTATATTTAGAAAAGGTTGACATTTTTAAAATCTACACTATTTAGAGAATACACACAAAATATTGTGTGTTCATTAATAGCAGTAACTGCTTTAATTGCTAATGTCAGTTGCCATAAATGGGTTAAAATATAAACTGTCAATCTTTAAAGCTGACGCTAAAATATCATCACAACTGGCACAATGTCACCTCTGCTCCTAATATAGATAATGACTGGAATGTTATTGTACCTCCTTATCATTCTCAGTTCTGATTGGTCCATCTCTCATCCTCTCATACTGATATTGAGAATATTTGTCCACAGATGTTTTTATTTTTACTGCAGTCGTAAACGAATAAATGAATTTCAGCTCAACGCTAACTCATCATCGACTCTCCCTGTCGTGTACAGTGAAAAGGCCAGTCCTTTACTCTTGTGGTCAGTGTTATGAGCCTGTTCATGCAAGTTTTAGACCTTAAATAACTTCAGCGTCTGCAGATCGCTGATTTTTATGCGTTCACTCGCAGCTCAAATGCAATAAAGCTGTATTTTCTCACAGTGTTGCCTGGCCATCTGTGCTAATTAAAAATGGTGTGCAAGTGGCTAAGTGCGCCTGCTGTCATGGCTCGATGTTGGCTCACCACTGTGATGCCTGTCAGCCGTCGACTTAAGATGTTGGCATCATCAGCTGGTTTACATCACCGACTACTATTGTACATGTTACTCAAGTGAAGACAACTCGACGGACACTCAGGGCAAAGTCCAGATGGTTACTTTGACAACAAACGCTGATGTCCGTTGTGAAATTAACATAAAACAAAAGCTACTTTGTGATTCCTTTTTGTTATACTGGTAAGTCTGACAAAAAGTGACCAGATTTCACTCCAGAAAGTGAATTTCAAGGGATTATCATCCGCGCTCCTTGCAGTAGAGTTTGTGAACAAAATGTGATTCATAAAACTAAACATATACAATTTATTTCTGATTTTTCTTTAATTATTGGTGTTCAAATTTTGTTTTTCTACATTTCCTGCCGTGAGTGATCATAACTTATTTTCTGGAGATAAAGTCACAGTGAATGTTGGAAAGCATTCCCAGTAAAACGGAATTATAGTCATATATTAAAACAAAATTACGACAGTGCACGTTTTACAGTGCATCTTGTCTTGAAAATTAGAATAATGAGGATGATCTGATCCTTAGATGTGGCTGAAAATGTGCCAAGGTTTCACATGTAAAGGCAATCAGGTAGCTCATATCTGTTCATATTTCTCATTTTCAATAAATAAAAGACATTGATCCGTGTATTCCATATAGTATGCATTATATTGTTTCTTTTTCTCATGTAGGTCAAGTAGACTTTGACTCTAAACAAGTCTTGTTTAGTAGGAACCACGGTAAAAATGGTTCTTTAGATTCTGAAGGTGGCTGAGCTCTACCCTGGAGTGTGCTGACCTTTTCTTCAACTTGGACGTTCCACGCAGCTGCCTGCATTTTAATTTCAGCACCTTCCTTTACAGAGGTCAAACATTCAAAAGAATAAAATAGAACAACTTTCCTATAACCCATCCAGCCTTCGCTACAGTTGGCTATGAAATCAGAAATACAGCTTCCTTTTAACACTCCTGCAGTTTTTAAGAGTCGCAGGAGTCCTTTAGATCACTTAAGTTTTTTTTTTTGTTTTTTTTTTACTGTGTTTTAGCTTATCTTTAGCTTATTAGACTATACAAAAAAGTGCATAACATTTTACATTCACAGTGAACCCTCAGTCACCTCCGCCCCTTTTTCATTTCACAAATTTCTCCATCTCTCCTCCGTCAGCTCTGATCACCGGTGTGCCTGGCATCATAGGTTACGTCTTCTTCTGGGCTAAATACTGTTGATTAGTGTGAGCACTGTTGCCACCTAGTGACCTGAGGCCTGTTTACAGTTCAACCACTAAAAATGACCACTGCAAATGCAAAAAAACAAACAGAAAAAAATCTCCTGTCTCATCTCATTGAATTCCTCAGCTCCACTATTTGAGATGTACTGACTCAGCACGACATGGTACGTAGGTATAAGGCGTTCATCATTTTGGATTTTTGAGCGCCGGTGGAGCTGAAGCCTGGCCAATTCTGGTCAGCATCCGATGTTTGTTTTGTCTGCATGGACAGTTGTGGACAGGAAGTGATTTCCACTGCAGCTAAACAAGCTCAGGAATCCCTTGTGTATCGTTAGAATCAGGTTTCATGCTCAGTCGCTCTGGTTTAAATGCAGCTGGAGTCTCTTTTTCCTCCCTTTCTTTGTACAACCAATGGGGGGGAAGAGAAATGAGGGAAAATTGATGAAAGACGTTTTTGTTGCTCCCCTTCTCTGCAGGAGAATGTCCTCCACTCTGGATCTAAATCCTTTCTGCACCATAAATATATTTTAGAACAAATTTTATGACGCTCATTGGAGACATTGGGTTTATGTCAAAATGGATTTTTATGAGTTTTCCTCTGTCTGCCAACAGGTTTCTCTGATATAGAAAAACGAATCACCGATGACTGCGGAGTCTTTTAAGGCCACCGTTACGACTGATTCGTGCTGTCACGCGCATTGCTTTAGTGGAAAATCAAATCTCTTTTTTTTTTTCTTCTTCTTTTTAACTTCGCTTCCTGCTCTTGTTTCTCTTATAGAAGAACATGACGTTGGCGCCCCAGGAGAGCAGAAAGAGTCAAGCCGGCCCCCTGCATAAGAAGAAACCTCCCAAACTGCCCAACGGCTTGAGCCTGGAGTCATGCAGGAACAACAACCACCAGCACCAGTCGTCAGACCAGGAGAACAATCCCCGCCTGGCACACACACAGGGGAAGAGGAAGAAGAAACGCCTGAAGAAGAAGCGTACGATGGTGAGCTAAGTGCATTCATGCATAAACATATTTCCATGTGGATTATGGTCTAGAAATGAGAGCTGCCAATTACTTTTATGGCCAGCTATAAATAAGAGGACGACTCACCTTGTCAGCTAATGTGTAAAGTCAGATTAGAGGTGGAGTTTCAGAAGAACTTTCCACAAGTTGGCTCGTGTTCTGGCAGGACTTTCTTTTCGGCGTCATCTGTTCCACAACTGCACGTTTATGTTGTATGTTTCACGTCACTTTATTTGACTTGGTGTTTCCCTAGTCACAGTGAGCAGCTTGGGTTTATAATCAGGGCTGTTAGCATTCAAACGTGTTGGCAGTGAACGTGATTAATCACGCGGTCAGGCATGTGATTAATCTGAACATTTTAAAGCCTTTATGTTACATAATGCAGATTAATTGAACTGAATGCACTCGACACACAGGGAGCGACAAACGTCAGTGAAAGGCGAAAGGTGAATGCTGTTGCCGTCCGTGACGGCAACAAAAGTTGGACGTTTTGCAACTTTTCTTGTGTAATGTCGCAACACATTACCTTGAAATTTCACATGCACAAATTTCGCCGGTCGCTCATTTGGCATTTTAATGGTGTGGAGCGAGACAGAAGGAGGGATGTGCATATTTATGTTTCAGACTTACAAAGTTAGGCATAGGGATTAATCACATTGTCAGTGTGTTATTAATGTGATGAAATATTTTAATCAGATGACAGCACTGCTAATATTTCAACATTCTTCCGTATGGATACGACAATATTAATATTGCTGTTGCAGCCGGGAGCTGACATGTATAACCTTACTCTTATTCATTTATTTTTTTTACACTAGCGCAGCCACATTGCTGAGATCGTGTCTCCGCTTATGCCATGCGTTGCTATTTTTCAGACAAAGTCTTGTGATTCATTCATAAAAGCTCTTCAGATTTCGGGAGAGTATTTCTTCTGCAGAAGTAATGGTTGCTGGTTTGACTCCATAATCATAAGCTGTTTTAAGAACCTGCTGCGTTGATTGCACTGAAGCCATGTTGCACATACACTTTAAGTTGCATGTTGCACATAGACTTTAAGCTGTTTCACCCTCAGGAGCATTTAGTGTGCCGACAGCGAACAGTACTTTCGTCACATACACAGCAAAAAAACAAAATAAATCAAATTACATTAATATGTAAAATATTGGCACCCCACTTTCACTTTTTGTCACATCATAACCACAAACTTCAATGTTCCATTTGGGTATTGTGTGATAGATCAACTCATAACATCAGATAATGATTGTAGTGATTCATTTTTTTTTAAAGGCATTTTTGTTTACAGAGACATTTTATTCCCTTTTATTTATGGTTTCAGTTGTTTGTGGTTTTTATTTCAGATGTATTAATTGTTTTTGGTTGTTTGGGGATTTTTATTGCTAAAAAAGGACAATCATGAATCATTTTCCTTACAATCTACAATAATGCAGCCACTTTGTGTGGGTGTATGATAACACAGTTAATCAAGCAATCAATCAGCAGGTCAAGTTTATTTGTTTAGCACATTTCAACAACAATAAAAATGCAACAATAAGAAGTAATAAAAAACACCACACAGTCAACAATCGAGTAACCATTCAATTTTGATGCATGAAATCATTGAAATCATCAACACACATCAAATATGTTGGTCAATTTTCCATTTTCTATGGTTCAAAATCAACCATGGATTGTGGGTTTTTAGTCTTGATGTAAAGGAATTCAGTGTTTCGGCTCTTTTGCATTTTTCTGGAAGTTGGTTCCAGACTTGTAGTGCATAGAAGATTGGTTCCAGACTTGTAGTGCATAGAAGATGAATGCTGCTACTCTGTGTTTGGTTCTGGTTCTGGGGATGCAGAGCAGACCAAAAACCAGAAGACCAGAGAGGTCTGGCAGGTTGAAACAGCAACAACAGATTTGTAATGTATTGTGATGCTAAGCCGTTCAGTGATTTATAAACTATCAACAATATTTTAAAGTCTATTCTGGGAACTGGGGTGATGTGCTCTGTCTTCCTAACTATGGTAATCTTATTTTCTGTAATAACCCGAGCATATTGATAATAAATAAGAGGGGTCCTAAGAGTGAGCCTTGCGGTACCCCACATGTCACTTCTGTCCACTTCCATGAGAAGTTACCTATCAAAACAAAGAAATTCCAGTTTCTTATGTAAGATTCAAACCAATTGAATACTGAACTGGAGAGTCCTGCCCAATTCTCCAGTGGTTTCAATAATGTATCATGGTCAACGGTGTCAAAAGCTGCGCTGAGGTCCAACAGAACCAGCACTTGTGGTTTTTCCGCAGTCTGTATTCAAGTGGATGTCTTTGGACGCGTTGACGAGTCTCAGCGCTATGGTGAGTACAGAAACCATGCAAAGTTGATGCCTCCGTAAGCATCAACTTTGTTGTGCGAACAGCAATGTGTCTGAATCACTGTAGTGCTGGGTATCAATAGAAACAAAATAGTCGCTTATAGTGGTAAAAATAATACAATGAATTATTACTGTCATCACTTTGTTTTGCATTCCTTTATTTGCAAAACACTGCCAGAACATGAACCTGTCATAGCTTATCAAAGTAGAAAGTACCAGTTAAAACAAAATAGACATAGTGATCTCTGTGTGAAGTGATGAAAATTTACAAACAAATCTATTGAAGCAGATTTTTTTGTTTTTAGCGTCAAAGTAACAAGGTCATAAATGAATATTTGTTACCCTGATGCAGCGGTAAATTTCTGCCAGCAATGACTTTTACAGACGTTCCTATGCTTCCGTACAGTAAGTGCACACAGTCCCTCATGCACAGAGAGCCTCTGAGGTGAAGGTCTGTTGTCTCCCTGGACGAGGGTCACTCTATTTCAGCTGTGAACACAAGAGCTGCGTGAGTTCCAGCAGAGAAAACAGGTACAGTCACCTACACACATGTGCTACTCAAATGTTAGAGCAAAGACCTGATGACAACTTGACTGTATTTCATGCATACACATATAGAACAGTCTACAGGTGCTATGTTTATTATAACCTGAAACGACACCATAAAATCTATCATATAAATTACAGTACATGTGCAATATACAAAATTTATGCATCAAAGGAAGCATAAATAAGTGAAGACTTAATGTTTCATAAAATTAACCCTAATTTGTTCGCTGATCGACCTGATATAAAATCCACTGGACAAGATCCAAGTGAAAGGTCCATGTGTGTTTTGTAGATTCTTATAGTCTACAAAACACACATAGTCTTATGATTGTGTCGCTTTAGAAGTCTTCAAATAAATTCCTTTCGTGTTTCTTCCAGTTGTATCAAATATGGTTTTGATGACCTAATGAGGCAGACTCCTGCTGCACGTACTCCGACTGTTAGAACCATGTTTTTTTTTTTTTTGTTCTTTTCAACATGCAGATGACCCTCGAACCTTGATGCGCACTGCAGAATTTCTCTGTCACACTTAATGACATTTGCATAATTGAAAAGCTCGTCGTCTTTGGCTCCTGCCACCTCCTTTTTTGTTCTCGGAGCTAGCCAGCAGAGCTGTAATCTCCTCATTGGCTGCGCTGAAAATAAATCTGAAACTATTGTCCTTATTCAAGGTTACATTATAAATATCAGAAGTCTCTATCAAGGTTTAATTCTCCATTTTTTTGGAAAACCTACCTTCTGAAAGCACGGTGGCTGTTATCAACATCGTCACCGGCTCCGAAACACAATGGCAGAACAAAAAAGGAAAAAAAGAACATTTCCTGTTGAATAAAGAAAGAATTACATTTCCCTCGTTTCGATGCCTCTCCCAGTGTAGCCTGAATATTTCTGTTGTCTTTTTCGTTTGATTTCTCTCTTTGACATTGACCCAGTGTGCCGATCTATGGGATGTTGTAAGCTGCAAATGTTGCCTCCCCTCTGAGTTTACACCCAACTCTGAAAATTGAGCCCAGGTCGGGGTTAAAACTGAACATACATAAGGTGATTAGTGATAAAGAATAAATCAAAAGCATCCCCAGCCTCTCTCTGCTATTGATGTCATTTCATTAGTTTCTTGTCTCCAGTGTCATATGAAGTTAGACTGATTTTCTTGAGATGACCATCTCAGACCTGAAAGGTCAAAGACTGTTGCATTAAATTAACTTTGCTCAGCTTTTTAGACAAGCTCTATAGTTATACTGTTTTGCTTTTGGGGTGACTCACGACATGTCTATCCTTACAAAAACAAGAAGACGCATTAAAATGCAGTGAGCTGCCATGTCATTAGCAACACCTGTAATATTTTGTTGAACCTGACCTGTTGCGTCATGGACTACACTAGATCCTGGAGGCTGCGGTGTGGCTTTTGGCACCAACAAGCTGATCCTTTAACTTGTTTGAGTTAAAGGTGGGGCCTCCACAGATTTGACTTGTTTTTCCAGCACATCCCACAGATACAGTCCATCTGGAAATTTGTCTTAAACTCAAAATTCTGCCACAAATGTGACAATGTGAAGAACCAAGACATAATATTTCTGTAGGTATTCACAGCATTTGTTTAAGATGTTGTTGATCCACTTTGACAGGAATTCGAGCCTCAGGTCTTTTTGAACGAGATAAAATCTCCTCTCGCGTGTCTTTGGCCAGTTTGACCCGTTCTTCTTTGCAGTTCTTTTCAAGCTCTATCAGGTCGAATGGAGACGTTCAACAGCCATTTTTTAGACCTTTCCAGAGATGTTCAATCAAATTTAAGCTCAGGCTCTGGTTTCACCTCTCCAGGGAATTCAATAAATGATTGTGAAGCTTCTCCTTTGAGGTCTTGGCCATGTGATTTGGGTCGTTGTGCTCCTGAACTCTGAGATCCAGATGGTCTTGGGCAGGTTTTCATCTGGGGAGTCTCTGGACATTGGTGGAATCGTCTTCCCCTTTATCATTGACTGGAGTGGCAGTCTCTACCAGAGGGTCCTTCAGGTGCCTTTTGCTGAACTCCGAACAGGATGCCATGTTGTTATTTTTAAGG